ATATTATAATTTACTAATCTACTTATTAACGTCTCTGAGCCTCAATTGACTGAGGTATAAGAAGAGAGCAAAATCTCTTCACAGGAACGTTATGAATACTAAGAATGAACTATTTTAAAATGTCTAGCATAGAGCAGGGCACTCCATGAAGTGCCATTATAACTTCTGAGTGTTTTCGTATATAAATACCATCCTGCTTTGTGTTGAAGAACACATGTCCATGACTACTTTTTAAGTAAAAGAGGTAAGAAAGTTTTTTCTATTATGTTTCACTATCTTGAAAAAAATATAATTCAGTGTCATAAAAATGATTTTATAAATGTTTGAGTAGTGACTTATAATTTATACATCTTTGTAACTGAGGAATGCAACCCCAAAATATGTCCCAGATTAGCCATTTGTTGCTGTGTTTCCACAGTCATTATTGCTGCATCTCATTCTGTCACGATTCTTAATAACTGACAATAATAATAAATTGCAAATACTAAGCAGACTATTAAAATCTCAAATGTGTTACTGTGCTAGGCCTATGTTTTTAGAAATACTTGGCAGTCAAAACTGGTCAGACAAAATTGAACAATTGATCATAGATTCTTCATCTCAGCAGCAGATCTCAGAAGCAGAGGCCTCCTCTAGGTTGGCACTGACAGAAGACACAAAAAAGCAGTTTCTTAATTTCTCTTTGATTCCTAGAATACTTTCAAAGTATCATCTGTTACCTATTCTCACCCCAGTTAAAAGGTAGTTTTAAAAAACCTAGTAGGTGGTGTCTGAAACTTATCACACTAGCAAAAGAACATGAAGAAGCATGGGTAACTAACTTTCCTAAATCTAAACAATTGCACTATGTCATATGCTGAGATTAATAACATTATCTAAACTCAGTAGGAATGCAATTAAGTGCTCTGAAAGAGAAAACACCTCACAGTTTATGAGACTGAGCTGTTTTCACTATGATAATAACTGAAGCATGTGCTTACTAACTCATCAAATACATATACTTCCCTTCAATAGTTACCTGCTCAAATCAAAACATCAACCACAACTTGAAGTGACATTAATACCACTGAAAACCTGCTGAAGAGAAGACTGTATCCTGATGAGGCTCCTAGGGTGTTTCAGGGACTCTGGAGGGTACACATATAATTTTAAAACCATGCATTTAAAGTGTTCCAAATGAGTAGTTTGCCATTCAATTACTCCTTATAAGGTTCCACATCCAACAGTATTGATTACCAGTGCTCTACCCTATGTTCAGTTCTTGGTTTGGTTACTATGATCATAGAGCCACATGTAAACACACACATACACACACACGCGTATATAATGTTAAAAGGGTAAGTTCCATTTGACAACTGAGAATTGAACACAGTTTGATTCGTGTTGGTAATAAACCATTGGAAAACCCTTTTCTAGGTATGCTCCCAGAATCTGCACACAGGTATGATGCTTCTATATCTTGACTTCTGCTTCTTTTTGTTGTATCAAACTCCTCATTACCTGCCAGAAATTTGATACCAATAGGGACTTCTTAACTGCTTCAATGTTTATATTTATCAGACTCATCATAACTGTAGTCTATGTTTGTTGCATCTTTAATCATTTCAAAATCATTTTACCCTTCATCCTCATGGTAATGTCATGTGAGATGAGGAAACTGAGGCACAGTGTTATGTGAGAAGCCTGAAGTGACTTGAAGTTAGTGTCAAAGCAGAGTACCTGCCTGTGACTCTGAATCCAGGCCTTACTTTGTGGGGAGCTGACAGGTGTATTGAATAAGCTGCGTGCTTGAGTTTGGCACAGCCCCAAACTGCAGAAAGGAACAAGTATAGTTATGCCCAGTAAAATCGCACGGTTGATTGGCACAGCCTCAGCTGCAGAAGTGCGCAAAACGCCGTACAGCTGTCTTTTCCTTTAATGTTTACATTTGGAGAGAAGCTGTCACAGGATCACGGTGTCACGCTCCGTCCCCGGAGAACTGCCTCTCTGCCTGGTGTTGCTACTGCATATAACGCACTGTAGGTGGGGGGGGAGGGGCATTGGTGCGTCTCCATCCGAGCACACACCTGCCTGGCCCCAGCTTTGTGCATGTTTTGTCTTCTGCTGTTGTCTTCCCTACATCTCCTGTTGCCATCAGTTAGGTTTCTAGGACAAGCTCGCGCGGGAGCTTGTAATAGTCACCCCATGACTATTACATCCCCTGTTTGGTCTCTGGATTACGCTTGTGCTAAAACATCTTTCTCACCAGCTCTGTGATTTTTTAATATGTTGAACTCCCTGAATTTTAGCTTCCTTCTTGGTAAACAGGTATAGCAATACTTACTTCATAACATTATTTTGAAAAGTAAGTGAAATGACATATATAAAATAAAAAACCTAGACAAGGATTAAATGTTCAAAAATGCCAATCTTTTCAGTTCACATCCTCGGTGATACTTCACAGGAAGGTGGTTCTGTTAGGGACACTAAGGGTATCTGAAATTACTCTGGAATTCAGAGTTCTGTGTGCGGGCACAGAGTATTGAATGTATCTGTAAGGTGCAGAATTTAATTTAACCAAGGATTTATCAATTTATCTACCACATGCCAGCTAAGAGCTAAGTGCTACAGACACACAAATGAGGATGCAGCAGTCAAGCAATGTTGCAAGTGAGAACAAAACTTGTAGATGACTTCCTAGACAAGAAAGAGATTACAAGAGGGGATAGCCTGCCTCATCTCACAGAGCTTTTTGTAAATGATTTCAATGAGAACAAAACACTTTTACAACTACTTCACATAAATTTTGTAGCTTACTCTTAGATGACAAATTCTACCAAATCCCAAAGTTTATTTTTGTAGGCAATGATACTGGGTCCAACCTGTGCCATTATAAAGGTGAAAGAGGAAAGGGGAGGGAGACCATCTCACAGTAAACTGAGGAATAAGGGGTGAAAATGAGTTAGATATTCCTATTACATAAGCCACCTAGATTAAAAAATAATCCAGGGTATAAGCAGTCATTGACATCTTATCTCTTCTTCATTGCCTCAGAATAGAAATACTTGTTATTTTTAGCTTTTCAGTCAAGCAAACAAAAATGTAGTTATGACACCATCCCATTTGGATTAATTCATTAATGAAAGGTATTCAAGTCAACTAAAAACATTTCATATTCAAAATGCTTATTTATTTTTTTGATGCTACTAGGGTTTGAACTCAAGGCTTTGTGCTTGTTAGGTGGCTGCTATACAGCTTGAGCTATGCCTCCAGCCCTTTTGCTCCGGTTATTTTAGAGATAGGTTCTCACTTTTGCCTAGGTGTGCCCGGATTGCAAACTTCCTCTTTTAGGCTTTCTGCTGTCACTGGGATGATGAGCGGGGGCCGCTATGCCCAACTTTTTTGTTGAGATGTGGGTCTCATGAAGTTTTTCTTTCTTTTTTTTTTTTGCCCAGGCTGGTCTTATCTCAGCCTCCCATGTAGCTTGGGATGACAGGTAAACACCACCATGCCCAGCTATTGGTTGAGATGGGGTTCCACTTAACTTTTTTGCTGAGGCTAGCCCTGAACCATGATCTTCCCAATCTTAGATCTCAAGTAGCCAGGATTATAAGTCACCAGTGCCCTGCTACAAATACTTTTTTAAAAGGTCAAACCTAGTGAAATCTCAGTGTACTTTAGTTTAAAACTATATGAATAGAGAAGAATAAATTTCATGGTTCTCAGTAACCTAGTCACTGGTCAATGTTGAGAATGATACAGCCCACGGTTCAGGGTTAGATACTTTTGTTCTCATTCTGCCGCCTTTAGTGTTTAGTGTTTTTAGGCAGTGACCTGATCTTTCAGTGCCACAGTGTTCCTATTTGAGAATAGGGACCATACTATTATTTTCTATCATATATATTGGGAACATTGAGATGGAATATTACTGTAATAGTTTTTGAGTACTTAGTATTAAACCCTTTGATCTATTACCTTACTTGTTGCTCGCAACATTTCAATAAGATCGATAGTATCTGTTATGGTTTTCATACAGAATGTGCCCCCCACAGGCTCATCACTGAAAGGTGATTGGATCATGGATAAATCTCTTGATGGGTTCACAGCATGGTGGTATTGTTAGGGGTTGTGGAAAGTAAGGTGTGGGCCCAGTGGAGGTAACAAGTCCCTGGGGGGGGTATGTCTATGAAGGTTGTATCTGACCCTTTCCAATCACTCTCTCTGCTTCCTGCCTGCCATGAGGTACTAAACTTTCTTCTACCATTCCCCCTTCCACCATCATGTTCTACCCCACTACAGGCCCAGAAACACAGAGCTAAGTGATTATGGCCTGGAACCTCTGAGACTAACAGCCAAAATAAATCTTTCCTCCCTTTATTTCTCTTAGGCATTTGTTATAGTGATGGGAAATCTGACTAACAAAGTATTATTACCCCCATTTTGGAGATGAGAACATTAAAGGATAGAAAGTTCTCAGAAAAAAACCTTGCCATGTCTTCCCAGATAGCAATTGGCTTAGCAGGAACTTGAACTCAGGCAGTCGGCATGTGTTCTCAACCTCTTACCTATGGTTGCCTTACTCCAACGTGGCAGTTTATTATATGCCTGTAGAACTTTACTCTGGTCTTCGAGTATAAAAAGAACTAAAAAGTAGCAAAGGGTGTGGGGAAAGTTATTTCATATAATGAGGATAGCAAAGACACAGGACTCCTGTGTTCAGGAAATAAAGATCAGTTTCAGCGAAGAGGAAGATTTCTGTATGGGAATACTGAGACCAGAGAGTGAGAGACCCTTTGAAATCATTGTTAGAATGTTTTTAAAGTCCAAGACAGGAGGGAAGCCCTCCTGTTGGAGGTCCGCTGAGTGTCTCTGAGTTGCCTCTGTGCACATGTGCATGCATTCAACCCATGACAAATACTGCTTTCAAAGCGCTGATGAGATGGCAGGTAGGTGACACTGATGGAAGCAGGGAAAGTTAGACAATGACTTGCAAGAGTTCTCAGAAGTTTTCATACACATACCTACATTCAGACACTTCTCAATTATTCCAGTGATGATTATCTGGTTTGTGGATGGTCCATGACCTCTCCTCACCTCCTGGCTGTCATTTTGGTTTGCTCCCTGTTTGTGAGCACCTGGAGATAAAGGGATTTTACAGTTAGTCTTTTCCTTGCCTTAGCAGCCATATAAACATTTGTTGTGGAAAGAAGCATATTGTGGAAGCTAAAATTTTTTTCATGTTACTTCTAGTTCCTTTGCAGAATAATTTTCTGATGAAAAGAAAAATACCACAGTCAAGCTTAACCCTGCAATATATAATTGTTAATTCCCTTCAGTCAGGTATTGGGAACTTTGCACAGGTACTTTCAAGCAACGTTCTTACAGAAGAACTTTGTTTCTTATCTGACCACTTGAGAGTGGCTAAATGTATTCTCAAAACTACAATGTGTTATGCATCTGCAGATTGACCTTTTTACAGACAGAAATGATTATCCACACCAATTACTCCTACTTGACTGTAGGGTACCAGGAGATCTCAGTAATTCCCTAGCTGCAGAATGCATGTTTGAATTGAATGCTAACATGCTATATTAGAGGGACTGAAAACAAGAAAGATATTAGAAAAATGGAATAGAGCGCAATGCCAAGCTATAGTAATATCTAATTACTATTTCAGACTACTACTTAAAGTATACCTGACTTCTAAATAGGTTGTATAAATGTGATACATCACTGTCACTAATACACATTCCACAACAGTTTAGACACAAAGATTGTTTTGCTTCAGAGTGATCCAGAGATTCATTTTTTACTTGAGTCCATTGGATGCAAATATATTTGGGGTGCAAAGTAAACACACGCACACATACACATGTACACATGCAAACTGAAGAAAAGGAAATGATCTAAAAATTGTATTTGGCTAATAATAAGTCTGTTACATCTCTTTTCTGATTAGTGTATCTTCATAAATATTTTTATAATTCTCCTAATTGAGTCCCTGTAAGTTCCAGGTACTTCAGGATATGATACATCGCAACTGTGCCCAGTGATTAGCCAGAAAACTGGCTCCATTGTCTGGGAGAACTTCTTGGCATATTCATAGGTCCACTGACTTCAATACCAAATAAGACCAGACAACGTCCCAACTATCCAGCTTCTCAGTTTGTTATACTAGAATTATTTCCAAAGATCTCAAATAAGCAGAAATCATTATAATTATGAATAATTAAAATGCTAAACTCAAGAGGGCACTCAACATTCATTACATTGTAGAGCTGCTCCCCTAGGGGTGGCACCTTCAATTACTTCTGTTTTTACAACAGAAGACAAATGTGACAATCAGAATTGCAGGTGTTCAGTTCAAGTAGCAAACAAGCTAAATTGCCTTTAAGTCACCTTCTCTCTGCCAGCAGAGGCAAGGCACTGCTTTCTTTTATATTCTTAACATTTGTGTTAATTCCAGAATATAGGAGAGCAACAGACAATAAGAAAACACATGACCTTCAAAGCTATGAGCAGATGCACTCCAGCTCTACCAGTTATTCTGACGGAAAAGTAGAAGGTAAGATACAGCAGCAAACCGTTTAAAAAGAAAGCCCTTTCATATATATTCCATAAAATTTTGTCAATGCATTTATTCACCTAATTTACATTTTATGTATCAGAGTTTATGCTAAATATAGTTACATTGCACAATAAAACCTAGCTGATTAAACAAACTATATATGAATGTATATGTATGGCCATTCAAAAGTTTGGGTATATACATCCATATTTTATAAAATGAATGTTTTAGAGTGTTATTCTTCATTCTTTAGTCATAATAAAATTGTAAAAATTAAGGGTCAGATATGGTGGCACATCCTGTAATCCTAGTTACTCAGGAGACAGAGATGGGGAAGATGGTGGTCTGAGGCCAGTCCAAGCAAAAATCAGCAGACCCAATCTCAAACATAAGCTGGGCATGGTGGTGTGTATCCATACTCTCAGCTACATTGGAGGCATAGGTAGGCGATCACAGTCTAATGCTGGCCCCAGGCAAAAATATGATCCCCTACCTGAAAAATAACTAAAGCATAAAAAGGCTGGGGGCATGGCTCAAGTGCTATAGCACTTGCCCAGCAAAAGCAAGGTCCTGAGTCCAAACCCCATATCACCAAGAAAAAACAACTGAACCACAAAATTTACATTTTTCTTCCTCAGATCTTCTCTACAAAAAGTATAGTTTCTTTTTTATAAAATACAACTATTTTCTTCTTCAGTACTTCAGTATTTCTTTGGTATTTCAGTTTTTGAGGTTTTTCTTAGGTATTTATACATACAAAATCAATGTTAAGTTGGACATGGATTAACCAATGGTAAACACAGTTTTGGATCTAAAAGGCTCTAGTAAAACAGATTTCTTTGCTCTGAGTTAGTATCAAACTGACAACCATGACCCGAGAAAGGGTTATCTTTTACTATTCATCACATCGGGGAGACACATTCAGTTTTTCACTTAAGTAGGGGAAAGAACTCCTTAGAAATACAATACAAGTGGTTTTAAAATGATAAATCTCAAGTTACCAATTTCACTTTTAACGATTAGTTGCCTGAGCCTTGTATTTAATTAGAATGGTTATTTCAAATGCTTATATTTAATTTAAACATAATTAGCTAAAGTTCAATGCTACTGCCTCATCCATTTTTAAACTAATTAATTTATAAAATAGCTCAAAAAGTGCTGTAAAATTTTAATATTAAAACATATCAGGATCAATTTGCATCTTTTGTTGGTTTCAGTTGTGGACTCACGGTGAGAGGCTTACATTACATATGCCTGCAGGGTCTCTGGCATGGTTAATATATAATAGAATCAAATATTGACATGTCCTTGACATTTCCTTTGTACTTAGGATATATACTTTAGCCTTCCAGGTAATAATAGTCTATAGCTAAGGAAAGGATTGTTTGAATTTTAAAGGGATCTAAGTTTAGAAATTAATTTTGGCCTTCATACATTTAACAAGATTTTGGTTTCAGCAAGTGAGTCCTAAGTGTGCAACAATCAGTGTAATAAAATGTTTTGTGAGTCAGAGCAACATATGTAACCAGAAAGCATTTTCAAGGACAAGTTTTCACTTTAGCTTGTATTTAAACAAAAAAACATGGTTTATATACATAGAAACCAAGAGACTGTGGGTAGTAAGACTGTGCAAGTTTTTCTACTCTGTAATATCCAAGTTTATTCCTGAGGATATTCTGAAAACACTCCAGTAGCCATCGGGAGGGCGCTTCAGGCTGTAGTGAGAAACCACAGTCCTTACTGTGCTTAGTGGGAGAAACCACTAAGCTATGCACATTTGCCTATTAATGATGATTGGTACTATTTTTTAGGTACTGAATATGTGTAAGTTATGGAGCTAAATAAATACCTAATGAGGTGGTCAAGTTCTTCCCCTCCCTGGCCCCAGCTCACATCTCACAGGCTAAAGGAGCATTCTCAATTGTGAGATGCTCACAACCACTTTCACCTCCTCCACCACAATGAATGGTTCTCCCTTGCAGTATAGTGTGAGCTAATTAAAAGATAAAGGTAACATATTTGATGTGACCATTAATAACTAATATCCCTTTCTCCAATCTTAGTAACCTCTTATACCACTGTATGTAGAATTTTCTGATAGTGTATTAGAATAAAACCTGGGTTTTCTATTCTCCATTGAACTTTTAGAGTTGGAGGAATTTGTCCCCACCATTCTCTGACATTAGCTCAAACCTTTGCACCATCCTTACTCTCACCAATAATCCTTTAGATATTTTAACTGAGAGCAGGCTATAAAATCAGTCATCAAGTAAAGTGGTAAAGAATATCTCTCCCCTTTTCACATGAGTACTATTATGTGGTGTTCCAGGATGCCTTTGAGCTATGCTGAACCTCAATTACCTCAACTGCCATCTGTTTCTCTTTCTTTCGATCACTCTCCCTGGTTCCCAATCAAGAGTTAAACCTATGTAGGTTCTCTGTAAAGAACAGAGGTAGAAAATACAAATATCCTTCCGACAACATTAGATAATATTAAATTGTAATCAAAGCCAATTATCTATTTATTTCCAGTTTAACAATCCAGCTATTGATCTTTATCTTATCTCTGGACAGCCTCAGAAAGTCCAAAGGTTGCAACCATAAAAAAGCCATCATAACAGACAGGGACCATTTGATGAACAAGAGTAAGAAGAGGTAGACTGAGAGGCACATCTGGTTTGTTAATCTTGCTAAGGTCTTTAAGTACCATCTGTCTTCCCATTCTTTAATGGCTACCATCTTCCTCCAGGCTAAAAGATTTAAAAATGATTGGGGGGGGGGATTTCTTGAGAAACTAGTCTGTGATTTTAATTCTGTATTTCATCTGCTAGCCAGTGAAAAGCAGTTAGCTGCAGCAAGTGTTCCTAATAGATAAGGGAATTGTTGCTTCCCATATAATGACATAGAGCCTAATGGCAGACACAGCCATCAATATCATCATCATACTGTCAGAAGTGCTAACAAGTCTGAAAAGAATTCGTTTTGAGGAGGGTCAGAGTTACCTTTATTTTACTTCAAACCAGGGTTATCATGGAAAAAATGATAATTCTTTTGGGGGAAATAATTTTTGGAATATAAGAAAAGTAGTAAAGGGTAAATGACACTGACTGTTGTGCCTGGCAGCACAGTCAGGCATTTTGTGTTCATTGTTTTTGCCTTGGAATGTTAAACAGGCTGGGTTCTTTTTAAAAGAAAACATTTTATTCAGAACATTCTTCCATGAAAGCACTCTTTGACAAAGTGTCATTTTTTGATATATTAGTACATGTCTGACTACATTTTATATTCAAAAAAGGCAAGCACTGTTTTAACAACTTTTGACAAGCATGGGGAATTTAGATTCCATAGAATCAAATCTTTTAATGTCATGCTATAGTCTATTTTCTATCTTCTATTTTGTACTTCATCATGGTAAGCCATACTATTTTCAATTATGTTAACTTATAGATGAAAAAGTATGGAGAAATTAAAGATGTGTAATTAGAATAGACATACTCAACTTATTAATAATATAGTTTTAAGCACATAATTCTGAAATTTGCTGAGAAAGAGAGCTATACATATAAT